TTTTGGCACATTTAGCACTGATAACTTTTGTTGAGGTTTACTCTATCTTTAGCTTCTTTGAATTTATGCATTCCTGGTTCTTCTCCAATCTCTGATTACCTACTTAGCTCTTCTTCCTGAACCCTAAAAATCCAGCATTTCTTCAAGAGCCTCCTTGAATCTCTTCTTTCTCCTCTTTGCTTTCTTCCTTGGCAACATCATAATTTCAATATGAACCTAGAGTTAATAGTCTCTTGGAGGAGCCACTCCCAAATCTCTGTTCTCAGTTATGGTCATACATCCAGATTTGAGGCCTGAATTTCCAGCTCTCCGCCAAATACCTCTGTGTACCTCTGGCACATCAACTTATTAAAGAATGTCAGCTTGCTGTTTCTGTATTCCAAATTTATATTAATGGCATTAATGAATGTCCTTCTAGTTGCCCAAGCTTGAAACCTTAGGGACCACTTCAATTTCTTGTTATTGTTAGGGTTTTGTTTTATAGCCAGTCAGCACCCCCCTTGCCCCCCCCTCCGCCATTAGACCCATGTATTCTTTTGTATAGGCACCACAACGCTGTTCTTGCTACCACCACTATTTTAGTTCTGCATTATTATGTGCCTAGACTGATTGATTATCTTGCTTTCCCCCATGCCCATAGTTGTTTATGTGATTAATCTTAAAGTACAGCTCTCATAATGTTATTCCATCTTAATATTTATTGAGTTCCTTTTGCCTGTAAAATAATATCCAGGCTTTTAAGCTTAGCATTCAAAGCCTAGTCCATGATGGAGTCAGTATGGATGGAAAGAAAGGATGGAGAAGAATCAGGTATCATCTTTGACTCTATAGGAGTGGAAGATAAAGCGAGGCTTTTAATCAAAGAACTCCGTCCGTGACTTTGAGCTTGGATATCTAACAAACCACTGACATCCATCCTGTTTGAAAAGAACTGGATCATATTATCTGTGTCCTTGTAGCCTATTTCTATATTAATAGACCTTTTTCCTAAGAATTGATATAGTCCTAATACTTTTACTGGGGTTTAGGCTCTTCCTTTTAGGTTTCATCATCATTTCTTATTCACGTACATACTCTGAATATCTTCCTCTTGTGTTTTTTCTGATTATTTTCAGCCAGCCTTAAAGCTTCCTCTTCAGAATTCTTGCCAATCCTAACCAAAAAACATGATTATTTTAAATGCTATTTTAGTTTAAGTAACTATTCATGACTTGTTAATTTGCTCAATTCTTTCATAGGAAGGACCTTTAAGACCCGTTCTTGAATACATTGATCTGGTCAGCAGTGATGATGAAGAGCCTACCACCTCTCATAGTGATGTAAGTACATTATGTTTGATTTGCATTTCTTTACTTCTGTCATTTAAGAGGCATTCTCTAAAGAGAGTTATCAAATCAATAATGGCAGTGTTTAGTGCTTTAGAGAATGGCCCACTTCTGTTAGGATGGGCCATAATAGGTAGTCCAAGGAGTTCTTTGCCCAGAATGTCTCCTACCTCCAGTTTTGTTCCTCTACTTTCAGTGAGGATGTGAAAGGATATCATGACAAAGGAAAATTTCTAAGCCTTGGAGATGATATCTGATAAAAGGGTAATGGAATAAAAACTGCAAGCTTTTTGGCTCCTTGTGCCCTCCTCCTTTCCTTTCTCTCTTCAGGTGCCCTATAGAACTGGATCCTTTTCATCCAGAACCATGTGGCCACAGGAAATTTGTTTTATCTTGGAAGAATGGATATGTGAAGATCTTTTAGGAAATGGAATGTGGGGAAGGGTTATAGGTGGTAAATTACTTCAGTCGTCATTCCTTTTAACCTCCTGTGTCCCCATGTTTGGAATTTTCTCTCATATCTGTGATTTTTTTTCCTTGTGGGTATGACCCTTAAACTAATACTTCCCTTATCTTGAGAACCATACTAGCTGAGCCCTTTATAGCAGTCTTGTCTTTCATTTGTCTTAGCCCAAATTGCTATTAATGGGCTATTTTCTTGATGGATTAGAGAACTCTTGACTCTTGTTCAAGGTAGCCAGAAAGCTTCTGGCTCTGTGATATAGGGGATTGAGACTTAGACTTGGAATCGAAATACCTAGGTTTTAGTCTCAGCTTTACTCCTTAATCTGTGACTTCAGATAAGTAGCCTTTTAAACTTAGTTTCTTTAACAAATAAGAATAGTACCTACCTCACAGGGTTGTTGTGGGGATGAAATGAGGTAACAAATATGTGTAAGCTCCTTGAAAGCTACATACCATAAAGTAAGGACTAAATAACTGGAAAGTTTTGTTATTCATGGAGAGTAAACGGAGAGAATTTTTAAAAGGGCTTAAAAGTGATTCTGCAATGGGAGACTTTTCGGAAAAAAAAAATTTAAAATTATTATCACCAACAGTTTCACCACCTCTTCTTGTCCTAGCAGTGGGACCAAGCAACAGGCTAGGATGGCGCCACTTGAACTGGGCTTATTTATACTCTCTCTTTTTCTTAGAGTACCAGATGAATGCCAGTAGTTTGGGCCTTTGGGGTAGTGAAGTGTGTGGATTTAATTTCTGTAATCCCCTTGCTGACCTGTAGTGGATTGCATCTTTCATTGTTAATTATAAGCATTTTAAAAATTGAATTCTACTTACTGGACATGCATCTCTGCACTTGAAAGTTAACATATTAAAAGCATTTTTTTTTCTTCCTTGGTTTTCTTGTTCATGTGGATAACCCAGAGAATGCCTGAGTCTAAGGTGCCATCCTCTGAGAATCATCGCCCAGAAATGTGCTCTAGCTGCAATGTTCCTCTTCCCATTGGAGACAGCAGCTCCTCCTCTGGGAGTTGCACCAGCAGTCCACAAAGGATAGTTTCTCAACCTCCTTCTGTTGAGAACCCATTGGAGAACCAGAAAAATGATCAAAACAATTCAGATATTAAGATCTCTGAGACAGAGACACTTACACCATCACAAAATTGTCAGACTCTGCCTTCATCTCCACTTGCGGTCCCCCAAGAATCTTTGGCTTCTTCAGAGGTCAAGGAGGATTTACCTCCAGAGTCTTCAGCTTCACAGCATGGACAGGATGCCATCCTCTATCTCCAGACACAAGTGGCTGAGATGTCCCGAGTGATACGTGATCTTCAGTCCAGGAGCTGCTTCAGATTTCATCATTCTAGGTCAGGTGAGAACAACTCAGTTCCTTGGGACATCTCCACTTCCAAGGAAGAAAATTTATCCACAGTTGAAGAAGAAGGTGACTGCAAATCCCCCTCAGCTGATGACAAAGGGCAGCCAACTGATCCCAGTCAGTCTAGTTTCACAGGTCTTTTGAAGAGAATGGAACAAAGAGGTGTTATAAAGAGAGTAACGTTACAATCTGAAGCAGAATCGTGTGACGGGAAACCTGATTATGTGAACTCTAAGAAACGTTTGGTTCCTCCATTGCATCCTCTTCTGAGAATTGCCACCACTGAAGTTTTTAAAGACCCTGCTGATTGCCATCCTTCATCCTTCATGGGACACAGAGTATATCCTGTGGCCAAGGATACCTCTCCCTTTCAACCAAATCCACCAGCTGAGGGCCCCATTGTAGAAGCATTAGAGCATAGCAAAAGAGGAAGTACAACATCTCCTCTAGATTCTACCTCAAAAGAAATGGAGGTCATGGGTTGTAGATTCTACCACGCAGCTTCCATTGCAGCCCGAGCTGCTAGCTACATGGCCTATATGACTCAATATCAGCGTAAACTGTGGGAAGACATGGAAGATCTGGTCCATGACCCAGAGTTTGATCGTGGAAAAGCAAGATGTATAATATCTGATGGTATGGATGCAGGCCTTTGGCAACTTTGTACTACTAGGGACATAATGGACTCTGTAGTCAGAGTTATGGCAATGGCAGTAGACTACAGAAGGCAAGCCTGGCTCCGACTTACATCTCTCACTAAAAAAACCCAGGAGAAGATCTCACACTTGCCCTTTGATGGTACTTCCCTCTTTGGACAGGATGTGAATGCTGTTGTTGCTGAAGAAAACAGTATAAAAGAAAATGACTATAAAGACCACAACAAATACTATAACCAACATCGATATTTTTATAGTCATGATCAGAAGGCACATTACCACAATAGAGGATACTCCAAAGGGGATTGGTACAAACCCCGAAACCACCCCTATAGATATAGAAAAAAGGGAGACTCTCCAGAACGCCATGGATACAAGAATTAATAGCCTATTTTGTTCAGCATTGTAGCCATCCAACATCCTACATATTTTACTTGTTTCTCCTGATTCAAACAGGATCTGCAGGTAGGAGGTCACCTCAAAAACAGTGTATGTCTGGAATTGCCACAGCTTACATTTGAATTCTCGTCTTTTGGAATGAAGTGTATAATAAAGAGAATCATACTTATTGGCCAAGTGAGCAGTAAAGACTTCCATCAGAGTTGGACAAAAATTTACCCATTATTTCTGGTCCAAAGTAAGTGCAGAAGAGGGTACTCAGGAATCTGAATCCTCTTGTGATTAAAGAAAAATATAAAGATTTGTTCCTCAGGAAAATCTTGCTGGTAAACTGAGGACTAGCAGATTTTGGATCTGGATATAACCTACTACTAGATTTCTGTTTAACACCAGAGGCAAATTCTTTGTTTTTAGGTAATCAGTGCTTCCTTGTTCAGGCAACCGCTTTTCAGATCTTCACAAAATGACAAATCTGTCACAATTTTTTTATGTCAGGATGAGTCCATACTACTCTCAAGCTCTATGAGACTTCAAAACCAACAATGAAGCCGTTTATCAAGAATGGAATTCAAATCAAATTTTGCCAAATCCAATTTACTTCTAGTGGGATGGCTAGACGTCACAGGTGTACTGTGGACACCAGCTGGAAAAAGACATTTCTACTTGTAACATCTCTGTAGAAATTTTCACAGTAACTATCTTCATCAAGACTGATGGTTATCACTCCAAGTTACATGTGAGAGGATTCTTTGTTGTCATCACTTATAGGTTTTTGACCTCTCAAGCTATGAGAGCCGATACTGGTGTTCTCTCAGTATAATCTGGGCCTTTCACCAAGATGATCTTAAACCTACCTTCTAAACAGTTGACTTTTTTGAGCTGGATAATTCATCACACTCTAAATACAAAAAAGATATGTACATTAGTGCCCTGGAAATAAAGGATGTTACGCCATCCAGGCATGAAAATCTGAACTCTTAAAAGAGCAAGAATTTCAAACATGCCTGAAAGTCTAGTCCTCTTATTGTAATAAAAAGGGATGCCATCAATCAATGTTACTCAGAAATCCTTAAGAGTTAGAGTATAACCGTGGATGTAGTGAAGAGAACATCTCACACAGTTCTGTTTCTGGATCTCTATTTAAATCATGATATTCATTAATGATTTTTTGAAAGTCTGAAATCAAGACGTCATTGACATGTTCTTGGTTTATTGGTCCCTTAATCTAGTCAGACTCTTACCATGAGAGACAACTTACCTTTTTGCTCCTGATTAGTTCAATTAATAGTTCACCATACTGGAACTGACAGCAGATACCTCAGTTACATGTCCTACAGTATCTTTTTAATCTCAAGGCAGTGGCTGTGCAGTATACCAGCTTTTAGATCTTTGTTTTTGCAGCATGACTTCAGAAATGGAGAAAATGTCAAGTTTGAGAGGTCCGAATACCTCACCTAGTATTATTGCTTGGCAGACATTTTTTTATCAAAAGACATAATTTTGTAACTTGTTTTTCAACATGTACACATCTATATTTTTTTCATCTGCTTGGGCAAAGTATATTGGGTCTACTGTTAGAATAGAACACTGTTTAAGGGTTCATGTGGTTTCTTTTTTCGGCCATAGTTTTTGCATAGTGATAATTGACAGTTTCCCTGGTGCCCCACTTTTTAATGATTTATTGGAGCTCATTCTCCCTCCCATCATAATGATATTCAGCACCCTTTTTATCTTCTTTTCCTATTTGTACTATAGAGGTTGAAGAGGCAAATAATACTACTTGGAAGAAGTTATTTTGTCAGATAATTTCAGGGTGCTGTATTGGTCCTATATGTAGATTATGCCTAAACTGCAGTCTTGATTGAGGAGATCATCTTGCATACTTGGTCAAGTTATATTTAGAGTTAACATTTACCTTGATTTCTCTATTTTCCACAAAATTTTACTTCTGCTTTTTAAGGTCCATGCCAGTGCTCTAAGAACTCTCTTTCAAATTGAACTCTAGAGGAGCGTTGATTAACTACCTGTAAAGAAACAAGGGCCTGAGAAATCGTACAAAGATTTTTATAGTTCATGTGTACTACACCAGTCAGGCAGTCTCATGTGGCTTTGATATGACACTGTAGTTTCTTCTGTGAAAGGACTAGCCACTGGGGATCTCATTGGAGAGAGTGAGACCTCGGAACTGTTCTATAGGCTGCACATAGGTATTCCCAATTAGTTAAGGCTACTTCAGACTGTTACCACTTTTCTATTTCTCTCTTTTCCTTCCCTGAATTAAAACTTGGTTACAAACTTGATGATTTTTGAGGTACTCTCATTTCCCAGAAACCAAACCAAATAAATGATGGTTGAAGATAATGATTCTTTGAAACTGCTTTGGCACTTCTGCTTAAAATGCTCCTCCTCTTTAATTTTTCTATTTTTTATTGTTAAAAAACACAACATAAAATTTATCATCTTAGCCATTTTTTAGTGTACAGTTCAGTAGTGTTAACTATATTTACATTATTGTGTAGCTACTCCTTATTTATATAACAGCATTGCTATTCTATTTTGTGTTACATTGCTCAGTAATAGAGATGAATAGCATTGCTTTATCACTAATTGGTATGGCCAAGCCTCCAGAGAATTTTTCTAAAAGTAAGAACATATTGGGAAATTATTGAATTCAAGTAGGTAATTTCTGAAGGGATTTAACAGGGGTAGAATGCTGTAGTGTGGAAAGTTTTTAGCTGTGGATTAGTCTCGACTACAAAAGAAACAGTATCCTTAACCTGTTTTTTATTTTAAAATCTTTCTCTGGCATACTTGAATGACGATGGTGTTATAAAACTAAAAATGGGGACTCTTGGTCTAGAGAGACAACCCTGATAGTGTATGGAACTCATAATTAGATAATAAGTTTTCATATTGGGCTGGCCATGTGCAGAGCCTGTGACAAAATCATTAGGCCAACCTCTTATGTTTAAATACTGATAGGTTTTTTTAGAAAGCCTTGGAGTGATTGCAAGTTTAATGATTTGCTATTATCAAAAGGGAAGTGTCTGATGACCCTTTTTCTTCAAAATGTTATTTCCTGACTAGACATAAGGTGTATGTGGTGACAATATAATTTTTTGTAGTTACCGTGTATAGGGAAATACTTTTTCCATTAATTTTTATATGAAGTGCCTTTTTAAATTTCACACTATTGTTTAAAACAACATTTTGATGTCTTGCCTATGTTGCTGGTGATATGTGAATTTTGTACAGTGATTTTTAATCTTGTAGTTTATTCATAATTTGTACAATTGCACTATCTAAATGTACTCTCCTTCTAAATGTTAGTTTTCTTTATAGCACTGTTGATCTATTTCAGAAAGTTGTAGACTATATCCCTCTTTTATTTAAATACTTCATTGTAGTTCATTTTAGTTATTAGTGATTAGCTCAGTTTTTGGATATTAAGGCAGCTGTGTTTTCTATCTGTAGGTTCTAGACTTTCTGATTGAGTCATTTGTTTCTAGCGATGGTAGCAACTTTGATAGGTGAATGTTCTTGGTAAGAAGAAACAAGGACATTGGTAAAAATTAGCAAATTTGCTGACACTATCTTTTTTAAAAAAACTGCGACAGCTTCTTTATCAGTGTAATTGCATTTAAACTTTAACTGTGTAGCAGTGTCTTTATCAGTATAATTCCATTATTAGTCTTCAAAATGACATTTTGAGAGGAGCATAAACTCTTTTAGGGTACTTGGATACTATTTAGTATGTTACATTAGTACTATACTAATATACTGAATGATGCCTAAGTGGCATGATTGATAATGTCCTTAAGGTCCCAATACATCTAAGATAACCTCTCAGGTACTATAAGCAAGGAGATTGGAATAGATATAATCCAGAATCTCTTCTAGCTATAAAATGGATACACAGTTAAATGACATGAATGAACAGTTAACAAATGCCACATTTAGTATTTTTGAGGATATAATTGAGTGGGATTCTGATGAAGGCTAGAAATTATGGATTAGATCTTTGTAGAAAGTTTTAAAGATTGCAATAATTGAATTTTTTTTAATGTGAGGCATGTTTTGCCTGTGCCTTGCACTATTTAATTTCCCTTTTAAAATTTATCATTCTTTACTTAATGTTAGCAGCGAGTCCAATAATTGTCACATATATGCATCTTATGTATGTTGTTCAATTGACCAGATCCATTCTATATAGTTTTTCATTAGTGGATACACAAACCAAGCAATTCTTCATTTTTCACTTAAGAAAATATACAGATGTTATTGGTAAACTGATGATAATCACTGTATTGAATGCAAATATTTTAGTTATTTTTTTCAGCTAAACGAGTTTTGTAAGCCATTAAAATATCCTTTTATTGGAATTTCCCTTCCTTGGTGAATGATGAAAATACTGTTTTATTAAATCTTTTTTTCTCATTGCTTAGTGGGTGATATTTTTATACTACTTTGTCTTTTCATTTGCTTGATTTTATAGTAATGAAAACTTTTTTTATAGTGGTTTTTGATACCACTGAGATATCTTATTACTGGAAATTATGTTTGCTTCCAGTTGGATATATCTGGAAGTGGTCACAGTCCAACTGTATCTTTTTGGCATTATTATTATCAGTTATTTTATTGTATTGATCTTCCTCCTTATGTAAAATCTCTTTTTAGAAGGATGTCTGATCTTCCCTTTATCTCTTTGTTGTAGATTATAGTTTTTATTCTACCAGTATATACTAGCCGGGATTTTGATGTGGCTTTGTGTTTGCATATTTAAATACAATGCCTTCAGCATTGTAAGAGATTTTCTAGTTTTCTCTTATAATGTCCTTTTTTTTTTTTTTTTTTTTTTAAGTAGCCAGTCCAGTCTCTCAAACTATTTTCCTGGCTATTAAACTTTCATAAATTTTTAATACCTTCTTCTTTAATGGTAGTATTATTTTCTCATTTTGATATATTCCCACAAATGTATTGTTACATATAGTTTATGGTCACTTGCATCTTCACCATGAATTTATAACAGCTCTGACATATACTGTATCTTAACGTTAGCCAGTTTTCTTTTAAGTCTTAAGGGCTTTACTGGTTTTGTTGTGGTAACTGTCTATTTCAAGTGGTCTATTAGATTTTCTGATGCCTTGTTAAGAATTCAACAAGAGTTCTCAGGTTTACTGGACTTACGTTTAAGATTTTGGAGATCTCTCAAGTAGTATTGTATTTTCTAATATTCCTGAGTATATTCCTTGGTAGAGATGAAAGTAAATGCTTTCTGTCTGGTAATAATTTAAAATATTCTCCTTTGATCTTAAATGCTTTAAGTGTTATTGTGTTATGAGTTTTGTTAGTAGTCTCTTTATAAGACTAACTTTTATATGCTATTTTTGTCCCAGGAGCTATCATATGTTTCCTGTTTTTTTCCATTACCCATAAGAGTGGTTCTATCATAGCATTCAGTTTTAAGGGCTAAGTTAGACCTCTTGTTAACTCCCATTTTTACCTGTGTTGGCTGTTTCACGCTACCTTGATTTATATATAGTAGTGTGCTAAAATAACTTTGTTTGTGGCCCCTTTATAAAACTGCTTTTAATGAATGAGGTAACAATGATGTGAATGATGGAGAGACATTTTTTGAGTCATTAAACAGTTCCAGATTTTCATTTCTCTTTTTTTAAACATTTATTTACATTACGCTTCCTGCTGTTGTGCAGCCTGTTCCTTTCTGTCTTAGGTAGAATATAGTTATTCTGTAATTAGTCTCATTTAGAATCTTAGAGTTGCATGCATGTTGATCTTTGTTTAATGTCTTATAATAATGCCTATTTTCATTTACTTTTGGCAAAAATATTTGGACAGATCTTAGAAGCACCTTGGTAGCCTTGGGTCGAATTGTCATCCTCTTGCCTGGGAAGGAAGTAGAGTAGAGAACCTTCATTTATACTACACTTGATCCTAGCCAAGAGGCCAAGAAGCGATGAGAACCTTCATTTATAGAGCTTATATTTACTATGCTCTGAGCTAGTTGCAAGGCACTCTTGAAGCATAAATTCACCCTTATTTTGCAGATGAGGAAATAAAATTTACCAGTAAGTTACTTTCTTAAGTGGTGGAACTGAGCTTTGAAAATAGATTCTGTTCTGTCAGTCTCAATTCAACATTGTACAAGGCTGCCTCCATGTGTTTGTCAAGGCTCAACTTAAATTTTACCTCTCTGATAAGCTAATTTGACATTTGCTAATCTTAGTCTTCCCTGAACTTTGTGTTTATGGCTGTACTTTCATCCCTTAGTACTTGATGTCTTATATTAACTAATTTCTGGTTATTTCCTTCTTAGATCAAAAACCTAACCTCTTAGTTTTTCAACTGAAGTTTCACTGTGATGAACTAAGATTATTCTGTCTTTGGCTTCTCTTACATATATTGCTTATTTGCATTCCATTTATTTTTGGTATTGATTATTTTTAGTTTTTTTGTTTTTTTTTTTTTCCTACCTTTTTGTTTGTTACACTTGTTTTGTTTGAGATAAACACTCAATTTTTTTACTGGTAACTAGAGTGTTTTGGCTTAATGAAAGGAAGGTGGAATGATACAAAGCACATGGTATTTGAATGCCAAACACCTCGATCTGCGTATTAACAAGTCACTCATTCTCTGAGTTCATTTTTCTACTCTCACGAAGTAATGCCCACAAATACTTTGAAAACTCAAAAGCCTAACATAGATTTCCTTTCTTTAGTAGTTGTGCTGTTTCTATCCATATTCCTAGATTTGTAACTGTGGGATGGTATTAAATATAAATACAGATACATTTGAAGATGTATTTGATAGCATGTAATAGTTCATTTTATGTCATCAGATCATGTTCCCCTTGTTTGCAGGTTTTTTTAAAGGCTGAATCATTAAACTATATTACAAGCCAACAGTGGACTAAGTCATCGAAAGACATATAAAGTAAACTAATCTTTTCTCAAGTGCAAGCTAAGAAATGTTCATAGTTAACAATTAAAAAAGAATATAGAATGAAGAGCTAGGATATATAGGTATGTGTATACAATTTTTCATGGTATTTTGTCATTTCGTGTCAATGTTGGAAACAATCTTTTCATTTGTCAAGCATCTTTTTCAATACTTGCCACATACAGGCAGGTACTGAAGAAGGTCTGGAGTTACTGGGAGTTAATAAGAGGTGGTATATTCTCTTAAGAAGAGAAAGAAATACCAGTAGAGTGTAATTATCCTGTTTAGAGGGATGTCTGTGATGAGGTTGGAACAAAAGAGAGGGCCATCTATAGGGGTCAAGGAAGCTTTTCTTACCAAATTCTTGAGCTGAGGTTTGGAACATGATTAGAGAAGAGGTAGGTGGATTAGTGGAGAAATAAGAGCCAGGCATTCAGGCGAAGGAATCAGTGTGTGCATACAAGGGCATAAGGAACATCACGTTTCTGGTTTCAGATACATTTATGAAATCAGAATTGGAGGAGATTAATCTGAAAAAAAGGATACCTATGAAAATATATTGGTTCCTACAATTCCTACCTATTCAAAGTGTACTGTTTGTGTAGCCTTTACTTGTAAGGTTATAGAAATTGTCTACTGGTTGGTTTGTTCCATAGTCCACTATAGACATCCAGAGCAATTATTTTTCTTCCCTGAACTGAGCCAATCAATGCACCTCTAGCCCCAAGGGACAGACAAGACAGTTCAAGCATTGAAATAGAACTGAGGTACTGCTAGAGAACAACTTTGAAGATGAACAGGATAATGTCACTAAAGTGGAATGTGACATCTCATTATGGGTGTATAGGACTGCCTATGGGCAGAGTGTACTCAGTGTAGCTAAGTATGGGTAATTTCCTTCTATGTTGGTTTAAGATAACTTGAGGGTACACTTGGGGAAAATGAAGATATTTCTAAAAATGTTTTGTTGGAGTTTGGAGGTATTGTATTGAAGAAGGACTTGTGAACCTTGTGCCAGTGGTATCTCCAGCAGCACCCAAAACACATTTTGTTAACTTCGTTTGTCGTTTTCTTAGGTTTGTGTTTCTTTCCTTGCTGCTGTTGCCACTTTCACCTTTTCACTCCATAATTCATCCTTTTTCTTTCTGTGCCAGAGGTAGAGAGCAGTAGCACGCAAGGTTGAAAACTTTTAACTCCCCTTTGCTTTGCTTTATATTCAGAGATATTTAAAAATTCCTTTAACTTCTTGGGTCACATTTATTTATTTTTGTCCTGTACTGAAGGAAAATCAAAGTCATTCTTCCTAGAGGGCGTTTTTATAAATATAGACATTGGCAGTTTACCTGAAAGACAGCACAGAATTAATCTGATTAACAGGTTTGGTGGTACTCGCCTTCTTAACTGACTAAAGTACTTTACAGAATGGAGTATATCTGTATGTATGTTTTAAATTTGTTCATATAAATCAGATGTTCTGTGTACTTTGTATTTGTAAACAATAACCACTTGGGGGTGGGAAGGAGATTGTACAAAAGGGTTGTTTTCTGGTTCCAAAGTTTTGCTGCTGGAGATGGTAAATAAACATTGTACTGCTTTGCTGTGTTCATCTCTTCTACTCTTATCTGTATTTGAATATAAAATTTTTGAGAAAAACTGCTGCTTTTCAAAATGTTATTTGGGATGTGGTTTGAGTTACAAGTTGGGCAGAAGAAGCTTCTGGTAAACAGCACTTCTGGAAGTGCAAACTTCAGACCAAACTATGGACCAAAGCTTTAGGATGGACAATAATCAGGCTTGGAATTTGACTTTGTATGAACTAATGCAGTTGTTTCAGGAATTCTGTTCAAACCAAGTGCACTAGTCAGATGGATAATATGATTTGCAAAGTTAATTCATTCCAATTTTGCAGTTGGTTGCTTCTTTGAGTTTCTCTGAACTTGAGATCCCTTACATAGAAGATAAAGGTGATGGAGGGAATAATCATCCTCCAGTTGGTGCCCCTTTAATCAGTACTGGCTGACTGACATTCAAAGAGAGATAACAACCAATAAATAAATCTCCGCCTGGTATTGTTCTATTTACATTCTCCCTTTTCTCACCCTCTCCACTACCTCCTACGAAGTTCATCTTTTTTTATTACTGACTTTTTCTGTAGACAAAAAGTGCCTTTGATGAGTCAGAACTCAACAACTGAGTTGTCACCACTTCTCTGGATAATAACTATTTTTACAGAGTGCTTTCTCACAGATGTACCCATTTTTCACAGAGAGGTCCAGCGACTATTCACATGTTCATTAAAGAAAGTAATTCTGTAGAAAATGCTGGATTTGATCATTTTTGTTAGTTACCCAAGAACTAACATGCTTATTAGAGATTAGTAATAATGATTTTAAAATATAAATTATTTGCTTATAAAAAGCGACAAAATGATACAGTGCACAAACTTGTAAAATCATTTCTTCTGTGTAGCTCTGCTTTTCAGTGCTGTGTTTCTAGAAGTTGCTTAAAGTAGAATTGCTTTCATTCTACATTTCCCTTGACTTGATCTCGGCAAATATTTTTAGAAAACTGGTTTAGCTAGTTGTGACAGTAAGAAGTGACTTAGAGGCTCAAATTTTGGGTGAGCAGATGAGTGAAAAGTGAAGTGAAACATCTGCTAGTATTTAATGTTTGAGAAAATTTGGATGCAGAAATCCTCAAAATATGACCAAACTGAATTCAACAGTAGATTGAAAGAGTCATACACCATGATAAAATGTGATTGATTCCAGGGATGCAAGAACAGTTTAACATCTGCAAATCAATTCACATGATACACTACATTAACAAAATGAAGGATAAAAATCATGTGATCATCTGAATAAATGCAGAAAAAGCATTTGACAAATTCAGCATCCATTTATGTTAAAAACCCCGACCAAAATGAGTATAAGAGGAATGTACCTCAACATAATAAAGGCCGTGCATGTGTGACAAACCTGCAGGTAACATGCTCAGTGGTGAAAAGTTGAAATCTTTTCCTCTAAGATAGAAACAATGCAAGGATTCCCACTCTTGCTACTTTTATTCAGCATAGTATTGGAAGTCCTAGTCAGCGCAATTAGGGCAAAAAAAGAAAAGCCATCCAAATTGAAATGAAGTAAAACTCAACTATTTGCAGATGATGTGATACTATACAGATGGTCCCTGACTTAAGAATAGTTCAACTTAATGATCTTTTGACTTCATGATGGGGTGAAAGTGATATGCATTCAGTAGAAACTAGCTAGGCTAAGCTATAATGTTTGGTAGGTTAGGTGTATTAAATGCATTTTTGATTTATAGTAATATCAACTTAAGGTGTGTTTATTGGAATGTAACTCCATCATAAGTCAAGGAACATTTGTATATAGAAAACCCTAAAGACTCCACCTTTAAGTGTTGGAAAAAAGAGAATCCTCTTACTGTTAAAACTGATAAAGGAATTCAGTAAAATCACAAGGTACAAAGTCAACATACAGGAATCTGTTGTGGTTTTATACACTAATAATGATCAGAGAAATTAAAATTCCATCTATAATTGCTAAAACAATAAAGTATCTAGGAACAAATTTAACCAAGGAAGTGAAAGACCTGTACACTGAACACTATGACACTGGCGAAAGAGATTGAAGAAGACACAAATGAAAAGATATTTCATGCTCATGGATAGGAAGAAATATTGTTAAAATGTCCATGCTACCCAAAGCAATCTATATATTCAAATGCAATCCTATCAAAATTTAAACACTAGTTTTCACAGAACTAGAACAAATCTAAAATTTGTATAGAACCATAATGTATCTCATTCTTGAGAAAGAACAGAGAGATAATCACACTCTGATTTCAAACTATATTACAAAGCTATAGTAAAACAATATGGTATTGGCATAAAAACATACCCATCAATGGACACCAATAGAGAGCCATTATATGGACAATTTATGAAAAGACAGTCTTTTCAATAAATAGTGTTGGGAAAACTGGTTGGCCACATTTAATATAATGAAATGACCACTATCTTAAAAAATTAAAATATATTAAAGACCTGAAACCATAAAACTCCTAGAGGAAAACATAGGCAGTAAACCCCCGACATTGGTCTTGGCATTGAATCTTTGGATCTGACTCCAAAAGCAAGGGCAACAAAAGCAAAAATAAACAAGTGAGAATACATCGAACTAAAAAGCTTCAGAGCAAAGTAAACCATTAACGAAATGAAAAGGCAGTCTACTGAATGGGAGAAAATATTTGCAAGTTATATATCCAAGAAGGGATTAATATCCAAAAAATATATAAAGAACTTAATAAATCAGATTAAAAGTGAGCAGAGATGATAAGTAGACGATTTTCCCAGAGAAGACAGAAGACCAATGAGCACACGAAAAGATGTTCAGCATCAGTAATTATCAGAGAATTGCAGGTTAAAACCACAATGAGAGATCACCTCACGTCTGTTAGAATGACTGTTAATCAGAAAGACAGGAAATAAGTGTTGGAGAAGATGTGGAGAAAAGGGATCCCTCTTACACTGTTGGTAGGAATGTAAAGTAATACAGCCACTATGGGAAACAATATGAAAGTTCCTCAAAAAAATTAAAAATAGACCTACCAGCTATATCACTTCTGGGTGTTTATCCAAAAAAACCTCGAAAATACTTATTCAGAAGGATATGTATGCCCCTATGATAATTGCAGCATTATTTACAGTAGCCAATATGTTATCCATCTTATTGATGGATGAATGGAACTTATTGATGGATGAATGGAATAGAACTCAGCTATAAATAAGTCATATAAAAAAGTAAGTTACTATTTGCAACAACATGGTTAGATCTTGAGGGTATTATGCTAAGTGAAATAAGACACAAATACTGTATAATTTTACTTATATGTGAAATCTAAAAAACAAAACAGCATAGATAGAACAGATTGGTGGTTATGAGAAGGGAAGGGGATTAGGAGATGGGAAAAATGGGCAAAGGGGGTCAATTCTGTGGTGACAGATGGTAACTAGACTTATGGTGATTACTTTGAGGTATTATCTAAGATCAAATTATTATGTTGTACATCTGAAACTAATATGTTACATTTTACTCAAAAAATTAGTATAAAAATATTTGGTGAAATTCAAGAGATCATAGAAAAGTTTTATAAAACAATTTATAGCCAGTTTTTTTTTTTTTGCAATCAGTACCAAGATCAGCTTTTAACTACCAAAGTGGAGGTTGGCAAGCATGTGGCTCTTAGCTACCTAAACCATAATACATTTCAAGATCGAGGGTGAATGTTGCAAGTAATAGGCATTTGTAGGTGAAATTTTTTTTTAAAGTCCACTTGTGAAGTCATTTCAGTATGCGTTCATCAAGACTAGTCAGAGGAACAGAAATTCAGGTTCCAGTAAAAATTTCTTTGTGACATAATTAGCTTCTTTTTGATTAAATCTATTAAACATTAAGAAATTGCCTTTATGTTTGAAAAAACTAAGAATTTGCTTTATATATTTACAATCCAAACCAGAAAAGAGGAAGGTCAAGTCTAAGCTGAATAGACTGATATTTTTAGGTTTCAATTTTTAATTTGACTACATGTGCTTTTAGGATTTTAAATATATTTTAAAATGTAAATCAGTACATGTGTGTTGGATTTTTTAAAAAGCATTTATATAATTAAAGAAAAATACAAATTTATAAGTATGCTTCAGCTAAATGCTTTTTGCTTTAAGTCATAATGGTGTTTGACATCAAAACTGTGTGAAAATATTTCCCAGTAGCTGTTAAACCTGTTGAACTGAAAATAACATACCTTAATTCTTGATCAGTATCTGTTTCTGTTAGGTTTGGAAAATAATGTAATTCAGTCATTATTTCACTAGAGACAAAATTTTTGTCTATCTCTATGAAGGGTAGTTGTTAAACTTTTATTTTCATAAGGCGTAAGTCAGTGAATTAAAACAAATCCGTATTGTCTATGGCCATGCTACCCTGAACAAGCCCAATCCCGTCTGATCTCGGAAGCTAAACAGGTTCAGGCCTGGTTAGTACTTGGATGAGAGACCACCTAGGAAGACCAAGTGCTGTAAAAAATAAAATCAAAAACTAAAAAATAAAACATAAAAAAAATCCATTACATTCCCAAACAAGAGAGATTCTCAATACTTTTTGTCTTTATACCATTTTGTTCATTAATAATTGAAATTTTGTTAATAATTTTATTACATATGCTGATTTTAGAACTGTTAGAAAACAGGGATAAAGGAAAAAACTCCAGATAGAAATAACTATTAACATTTTGATTTATAACTTTCTAGATTTTACTTATATATTTTTACAAAAAAAGAATCATCTTCACTTAAAAACAAATAAGTGATAGGGAAAAAAAGACATTGTTCTTTTCTAGCTCTTTAAGATGTAATGTTAGGTTGTTCATTTGAGATTTTTCCTATTTCTTGAGATAGGCCTGTCATGATGTGAACTCTCTTATTACCGCTTTTGCTGTATCCTAAAAGTTTTGATATATTGTATTTTCATTCTTATTTGTTTGTAGGTATCTTTTGATCTCTCCTTTTATTTCTTTGACCCAGTCCTTCTTTAGTAGCAGCATGTTGTTTAATCCCTACATACTTGTAGTTTTTC